TGCTTCCTTTTGTCTTCTCTTTGGCCTCCTCTGCAGCCTTCTCTTTCGCTCTGTCATCCTCTCTGTCATCCTCTGCTCTCTCATGCTCTGCTTTGTCATCCTTTGCACTTACTGTTGTTTTCTTCTTTGTTGGCCTCTCCGAAGCCTTGCTTTTGCTGCTTCCTTTTGTCTTCCCTTTGGTCTCCTTGGCAGCCTTCTCTTTTGCTCTGTCCTCCTCGCTGTCGTCCTCTGCTCCCTCATCCTCTGCTTTGTCATCATCTCTCTTATCATTTGAGCTTTCATCCTCTGCTTTGTCTTCCTCTGAGGCGGCCTCTGCTCTGTCCTCCTCTTTCTCATCCTCTGCTCTTTCATCCTCTGCTCTGTCCTCCTCCTGATCCTCTGAGCCTCCATCATCTGCTTTGTCTTCTTGTCTGGCGTCCTCTGCTCTGTTCTCTTTCTCATCGTCTGACTTTCCATCATCTGCTTTGTCCTCCTCTCTGGCGTCCTCTGCTCTGTCCTCGCCTTTGTCCTCCTCTGAGCTCTCATCCTCTGAGCCTCCATCATCTGTTTTGTTATCCTCTCTGGCGTCCTCTGCTCTGTCCTCCTCTTTCTCATCGTCTGAGTTTCCATCTTCTGCTTTGTCCTCCTCTCTGGCGTCCACTGCCCTGCTCTGTTCTGCGTTGGCCTCCTCTCTGTCATCCTCTGCATCATCCTCTGAGTTCACGTCCTCTGCTCTCTCATCATCTGCGCTCTGATCCTCTGCTTTGTTCTCCTCCCTGTCGTCATTTGTTTTCTCCTCCTCTGACCTCACGTCCTCTGCTCTGTCCTCCTCTTTCTCATCCTCTGAACTTTCATCCTTTGCTTTGTCTTCCTCGCTTCGGTTCTCCTCGTCCTCTTTGTCATCCTCTGAGCTCTGACAGCTCTGATCCTCCGCTCTGCCTCTGTCCTCCTCTCTGTCGTCCTCTGCTCTGTCACCCTCCTCTGAGCTCTCGCCCTCTGCTCTGGCCTCCTCTCCCTCCTCCTGTGCCTCGGGATCTTCTGCGGAGACACCAGTCCCTGACTCGTGGGTCGGTGTGTCAATCTCAATCTCTTCGTCAAGATTTATTGGAACAGGCATACTTTTTTTTGGGATCTTGCTGTTCTGGTTGTCTGTCTCCTCGTGTGGCCTTTTGTGTTTGGCCCGCTCAGCATCCCTCCTGTCGCACTCCATCCTCAGTTCCTCAATCTCCTCAAGGAGCTCTGCTTCAACACCAGCTTCATCGCCTGCTTCACGACCTGAAGACGACGAGGTTGAACCGGGAACACGCCCGTGAAGCGTGTAGAGGACAGGATGGAAAGGAGCTTCGTCTTCTCCTCCAGCATCCTCTGCTCTGTCCTCCTCTCTGTGGTCATCCTCTGACCTCTCCTCCTCTGCTCTGTCCTCCTCTGTGTCGACAACCTCATCCTCTGCTCTGTCATCTCTGTCAACCTCCGCTTTGTCCTCCTCTGGGCTCTCCTCTGCTCGATCGTCCTCTGCTCTGTCCTCCTCTCCGTGGTCATCCTCTGACCTCTCATCCTCTGCTCTGTCCTCCTCTGTGT